CCCCCCCCGTTCGCCCCCGCCGGAATCGCGCGCGCGCCCCCGCCCGCCCGCCCGCCCCTCCCTCCGCGGGGCGCGAGCGCCCGGGATAATTGGCTGGCGGACGCGCGCGCGGCGCCGAGCGGGCGGGGGCGCGCTCGCGCGGAGGCGGCGGCGGCGGGGGCGCGCGCGCGCGCGCGGCAGCGGCTTCACTTCTCTCCGGGCAGCGGGGGCAGGAGCGGCGGCGGCGGCGGTGGGAGAAGCAGCAGCAGCGGCCGCCGCTGCTGCTCGGGAGAGAAGGGAAAGGGCAGGGGAAGCCGAGAGCGAGGAGCGCGGGGGAGCGGGCTCATGACTCAGTGAGCGGCTGCAGCCCCTTCCCAGCCCCGCGCCCGGCCGGAGTCGGGGCGACCGCGACGGATTGTCCCGCAGCCTGTGCCCGGCACCAGCGAGAGAGAGACCTGCGCTCGCCTGCAGGTAGCAGAGGCTTTTCCCCCGTCCCTCCCGGGGTACACCTACCTCTGCCCCGGCTGAGCTTTCCGTCTGCCTCCCCTCCCCCCGCAAGGCTCCTACCCCCTCGTCGCTACCTCACGGCAGCACCCTCCCCCCCCTATTTATCTGCGACCCTCGCTCTCTACCTTTATCTTTCATCCTCCCTCCCCCCTCCGCATCCCCCCGGCACTGCCTGGTACCCCCTTCCCTCCTCGTCATCCCTGGCCGTGCCCTTTCTTAGCCTCCGTCCCGGCCGTCCCTCTCCGCCCCCGGCCACCTCGGCATCTCTTCCGCCGCTCCCCGCTCCCTCAGGCTCCATCCAGCCTCCATTGCTCCTCAGCACCCCCACACCCCTTCAGCAACTCTTCCGTGTCCATTTGTCCTGCTCGCCCCGCTGCGGGCGGGAGAAGGGACCACCCCCGCTCCCCCCCGCCCCTCCGGCCCCGCTCCGCGCTGATCGCGTGGTCCCCGCGGCACTCGCTGCGCCCCTGGGTCGCTCCGGCGCCGGGGTACCCCCTGCCCCCTCCGTGATCGAGCCTCTCGGGATGCGCCATCCCCACACCGCTCCGCCGCAAGCACCCAGTGGGCACCCCGGGCTGGAGACCCTCGGGAAGGGCACTAGCACTCCCCCGCCCCCACACGGAGCGCCCCGAGGAGCCCCGCAGCCCAACCCTCTCCCTTCCCTCATGTGCCCCCGACGTCTTCCTCTCGCAGTCTCCTCCTCCTCCTCCTCTCCTCGGTTGTCTCCTACTTCTCACCCTGGCCCGGCCGCCTCCCGCCCGGCTGTGGGGGTTCGGGGTGTGTGTATTTCTGGGGATACCCATGCCCACCATCAGCTCCCGCACGGCTGTGTCTTCCCGACGGGCGAGCCACGCTTCTGCCCCCGGGCGGCTGGGGGGCCGTGGGAGCCCGGGCCTCTCGTCCCTTCCCTCCAGGTGCCCCTCTCAGTGGCGGACCCTACCCGGCCACAAACCGGGAGCCTTCTGCCTCCCTTCCTGCGATGTTGTGGTCCTTTTGCCCTTTACGCTTTCTAATGAAGATGAAGTAAAGCGGCTGCTGCCGTTGCTGCTCATCGTGGGCCCTGCAGAAATGTTCAATTTATCTTGGCTTAAAGAAAATTAAGACCGCTTTAAAAGGACATCATCACTAGCTCTGCCGCCCTTGGGGACTGATCTACACATTGCCAGGATCTTGCTGTCCCTAACTACGGGATTTTTTTTTCTTTTTGGCGGGGGGAGTGTGATGGTGATTGGTGTTGGGTTTTTGTGACTGTATGTATTTTTGTTTGGTTTTGTTGTTTTGGTTTTTGTTTTTTGTTTGTTTGTTTGTTTTTATTTTGAGGAGGAAGTGGAAGGTGCCAGTACGTATATTTGACAAAAGCAAAACCTTTTGGACTCTTCACTTTGAATTGGTAGTTGTAGTTACACTTGTAATCTCTCTCTCTGCTTATTCATCTCACGTTAAGGGAAAGACTTTAAAGTCCCCTTTCACTCCTTCCTCTGTCCCCTCTGCTCATTTTTCTCTGCTCAACAGCAGGGAGGTTAGCAACCCTCGTCTGAATGTAGAATAGCCTGGCAGTCGGGGACCTGGACATCGTGTGTCTTCCCTCTTGCTCTGTGTGACAGTTGCAAACACACTCATGGCTGTTCAGATTCAAGGAGTATCTTGTATTTCTGTGTTAGTGGCAGTGAAATATTTTTTTTCACAGTGTCATCCCCTCAGTTGATTTTTATTTTTTTCCCAGTTGTTTGTTCATGTGTTTGGCTGTCTTGTAAGTTTAACCCTATTTGAAGCGTCTAACCTCAGGCCCTTTAGCACTCACTTTTACTGGAATATTAAGCATCCCTTGAACTGTGCAGAAATTCCTAAAATTGGAGATATTGTGAGGAGATGGCATGGAAAGAATTGCCTGAATGTCAGAAAGGGGAACAGAGAAAGAAGGAGAAAGGAGAGACAAAAAAAAAATAACCGAAACAAAAAAACCCCAAGAAATTAGCCAGACATCAAATGACAGATTGAAGCATTTTCCTGTTGTAAATGCTAGCATTACATGTTACAGTAATTATATGCTCTGGGCTACTGTTAGTGTTTGTCTGCTGGATAGTAACCTGAACTTGTGAAGTGAATAGAGTTGTTTTTTGGATAATAGTAATATTTATAGCCAAGATTATTCACAGCAGATGTCCTATGTGTATAAGCATTACTAAATATGCTTTTAACTTTCTGGCCTACAGTGTTAAAGCCTATGTACATTGTGAAGAGATATTTTTTCTCTTTAAAATGAGGTTTACTAAGCAAAGTTCAGAACTAAAATCTAGAGCAAATAAAGGCCATCACAAGTGTTATAAAGAGAAATGAGGTTGTATTTTAACTGTATGTAGAAGCAAAGAAAATGGGTACTTACTATCAAAATTGCATTATAGTTATTAAATGCATATTTTGACTTGTCAGAATATGATATTTTTGTGGTTTATTACCTCTAAATCTTCTGTTGCTTTTATCTTAAAATCTGACAACTAAGATTTAAATATCTGAACATCAACCTGTGTAAATATACAAATTATGTTAAGTATAATGTAGCTGTACCATAGGAAAGATTGTTCTCTAGGAATGAACAATTTTTGTATTTTAATTTTAGGATGAAAACTATGCATTATTTTGGTTGCTTCGATGAGCAGGCTAAGTGTTGTGTATTTATATAAATTTATATATGAAAATATTATTTTCTGTGATAAAATCCAAAATGTAGTTTAGGCTGATTAAGGGAAACCTTAGTCCCATATCCATCACTTGGTATTGCTTGCTATTTCTTTTGATGCATTAACATTTTGAATGGATGCTATACTTCCATAATTCTTGTTCGTTATAGCTTTACAAATCAGATAAAAAACCCCTTCTTCTTCCTGAAGTTAGTTGCATGTATCAATAATGCCTGAAGAGATTATTTCTTCCACTCCACAGTGTGTAGTATTTGATAGAATTAGATCTTGGTAAAGGGTTTTTCAAAATAGGAGTAAATTTATTTTCTTACATGCAGCTGAAACTACAACACTTTACAGACTTTTCTAAAAAGCATCCATTCCAATATAACCCTGTTGGCATTGATGTTACTTTACTTTTACTTTACTGTCTCTTTCCATAAATATAGGGAGCTGAACTTTGCTTAATCCATAGAATGAGTAAGGTTGCATCTGAGCCTGAAATACCATTATTCTCCCTTGAGCGAGTCTTAAAACATACAGCAGTTAAGGTGAATAGTTTTGTTCTTAATTCTGATAGTACCTGTGCATAGGTAAGAGGAAAAGCAAGTCAAAGTTCACAGCAATTTAAAACTCTGTGTGTGAAAGCACAAATTCTTTGATTCAGATAGATTTGATCAGAAAACCACCCAGATATATGGAGATTGTGTGGGTGTAAGCAAGTAAAGTTTGGGCCTATGTGCTTTGGAGGTAGTTCTTTTATTAAAATCTTTAGAGGAGGATATATAAAGTAGGTATATAAACTACAGATTGGGAATGAAAAGAAAGACTTGAGTTTCAGTTTGGTTTTTGGTTTATGTTTTTTGTTTGTGGTTTGGTTTTGTTGTTGTTGTTTGTTTTTGGTTTTTGATGGTGGTTTTTTTTTATTATTTTGTTTGTTTCTTTTGTTTTGTGTGTGTGTTTTTTTTTTTTAATAAAAATCAATCAGTGCCACCACATATGCTAATTCAGTAAGGGTTTTTCATGGACATCTGCCCTTCATTAGAACAGTTTGAAAAGTCATGACAGCTGTAACAGTGGGCTTGTAATTCCTCATCTGTCAGCATATTGTTATACTATTTAAAATGAAGGAAAAAATAAAATAGCTAACTAGTATCAGAAGTGTGCAAATAAAGCATTAACTTGACTTCTGAAATATACTGAGATTTCTTGCTGCTTATGCTTTCTGACGGCTTTTTTCCTTCATGTTGCCTGACTGAAATTTGTCAGAAAAAAGCTTCCTTATATCCTCTACCAGTGTGCTTACCGCTCTAGAAGTGTATGGTTTCAGTAAATATAAACAGTCCTGTGTTAGTGCTTTTTGGTTCTGTGACTGTTTCCATCGAGCATGCCAAGATGTAGATTTTGTAATGTGGAAACCCACATTAAAGACTTGGAATGAGCCCATAGATTTGTTTCATATGGGATAACAGAGAGTGTTAATACAGTAATAACTCTCAGTTTTTAAAGAACTATGCTATGTTTGAACCGGTGGCATAGTGATGAGATAGCTCATGCATGGCATTGCTGAGTGGTTGAAAAATATAATTCACAGTGAATGGTACTACACTTGCTGGATTATGTTTCCTACTTCAATAACTTCTGCTTTTCATAGATATATATATATATATATATATATATAGTGGGCTTTTTTGTTGGGGTGGTGGTTGTTGTTGTTTGTTTGGGGTTTGTGGTTTTTTTTTGCAAAGGGTTTTAAATGATCGGCTTCTGAATTATTGTCAAGACACTTCTGGCAAAACTCTTCAGTACTAAGATTACTGAAGTGCTGTAACACAAGTGTAACATATTAGGACAAGGCCATTATGTGTTCTTTCCTTAAGGCATGTAAGAAGTAGTGTCACTGGGCAGTTTCTTCTCAAAAAGCTAACTTCTGTTGTTTGTTTTGTTCAGTGCAGCATCTGCCATGTCTACAGAGGGGCAGAGAGTGGATGATAGTCCAAGCACTAGTGGAGGCAGCTCTGATGGAGATCAGCGTGAAGGTGTTCAGCAGGAACAAGAAAGGGAGCAAGTTCAGCCCAAGAAAAAAGAGGGCAAAATATCAAGCAAAACAGCTGCTAAACTGTCAACTAGTGCTAAAAGGTACGGTGTTCTTTTTGGTTTTTATTTTAAATTCTCTTTTTTCAGCTCAGCATCAGATGTATGTATTGACTCAGTATATAAATTTTCTGATGGTTTTATTATAACGCTGCTATATTAGTGTAATATCCTCTTGAGACTGGTCACAATAATGAGACCTGTATACTTTTTCCTTTCTTTGACAGATTGGCTCTTTCACATGGTTTTAATAGTTGCTTGCATGATAAAAGCTGACATTTTTTTATTGCTAGTAAAACTCAGACAGTTTTGTAGCCTTATAAAATATATCTCTGTATGTGTGTATGTGTGTATGTGTGACTGATGTTGAAACTTGTCAGTGTAACTTACAGTTAATTAACCATAAATATATCAGACAGTTCAGTAACTCAGCATGTTAGGACTACTGTAATACCTATTGTTGTGAAGTACTGCATTTTCTTTTCCCAGATGGTCAGGTCAGAAATATCTGAGTGAACAACAAATGCATGTTGGTTTCATTACTAAGCTCTGATCTGTTTCATTACCCATTTATTTTCCTTCCCTTTTCTGCTTGAGAGGAAAGGTTGGTTTGTAGAATTGCTATTTAAATTATTCTATGCTATCATGTCCATCTTCAGATAACGATTGTCTTGCTTGGACCAGACAGAAGGAATTTACAGCTTAGTGTTGCTTCCTTAGTACACATAGGGTTGTTAGTCTAGGCAAATGGGATTATAGTGATTGAAGTTAAAAAGCACTCATAAAATAATCTGACAAGAGACCAATTCTGCAGACTGTCCTGATGCAGAATTCCCAGATCTCATTTCTTTACTAATCCAAGGCTGTGTAAACTAAAACCGTTGTACCTCTGTGGTGCTGTGGTAAAGGAGAAGCATTGAGCCCCTATTGCTATAATTTATAACGTATGCAGGTAGTCCCAGTCCATAAACACCAGTATATAAATGTATGTACATGTCTTCAGGATTCAAGTCTTTGTCTTGCCTTAATTTGTCCCTTACCAATTACATACTTTTCTGTCTTTCCAGTGGGGTATTGTCATGCTTTTCTTTTGCCATAGATACTTTCCTTACAGCTAGCTTTTCTTTATTCTTTCTTCTCTGTAGAAATGCTTTCTGGACACCCATTCCTACTAAGACACTATTAGGAGTCATATCACTGGTTGTATCACTTACAGAATAGCCAGCAAAAGCTGCCCATGTTTTGTTTTATGACTAAAAGGAAAAAAAAAAAACAAACCAAAAACACCCACCCAGCTTTCACTGCAAACCGTGCTGTTACTCATGTAGTTAATCCTCACAGCTGTTATGGTTTCTGGCCTTGTTCTCTTTTGTCTGCTTCCTGCTATTATTATTTTTTAAATATTAGGAATATTGGATTAGTCATGACTTTTAAGGTCATAAAAAGTAGTTTTCAGTGTCTTTAGAAAGCACTCTGTGTATTCTGAACTTTGTACAATGTCTGGTGTAATGATGCCGCAATTCTGACAAGAGCTTGTGGACACTATCCTATTAAAAAATTAATAATGAGATGTCAGAAATTGGTCTATTAATCTTAGCTTTGTATCTTCAAAGCTTAGAGCTTTTATCAACATGCATTTTACAGTGATAAAATTACTTAAACCTTTTAAAGTTTAATCACATCTGCTTATGGTTCTACTGAAACTAATTATGCCAGCTGCTGACACCAGTACATTTGCTAGTTAGACTCTAAAGCCAGTTTCATGTGCATACTAATACTAATATATTTAAAAAATATACACTTGAGTATACATCTTAAAAGCTGACATGACCTACAATAGTTCTTTAGGTATGTACCCAATAAATAATATTTTGAAAAAAGTATGAGTGCTGGTTGTCGTAGCACTTTCTGGAAGGATCACAACAACATCATTTTTATAGTAACAGGGTTTTTTAGCAGTATTTTTTTTTCTTTTTTGTTTTTAAGTATTCAGTAGTTTGTCGCTGTGTTAGGTTTGGGATTGTACCTTCTGCATTCAGCCAGGTTTTTGTATTACAGGTTTTATTTCTTTGCTTTTTAATTAAAATCAGTAGTGTCTCAAAAAAGGTAAATCAGGATTTAAAGCAGAGGATAAAAAGGAGTGGAGTATCATAGAGGAAGGAAAAATGTCTTAGGGTCCTCAACATGATATAAGTATTACAGAAACTGTCTGTATCAAATATCTTCGTAGTAATACTGTTAATTTTGTTCATTAGAAGTCAAAAGTAGTGCAGGATTAATAAGGCTAGACTCTGTTACCCTCATTATAGTTAAAGGAGTCAACTCTGCTAAAATCAGTAAAACACTCAAACAACAGAGTGTTGACAGTTGAGGCTTTGGTGAAGATTCCTTAATTCCTGTTTAAAACACAGAACACCAGTGAGTTAATGTCGCACTGGATCTAAAGTCACAGACTACAGACTTGATTCTAACCTGAGTTTGGAAATCAAATTTTCTTACTTGGTAAGCTTTCTCATACATATAGAATTGTAGTCACAATGGTTTTGGATTGCATTATGATACCTGTTGTAAATATTGGTTTAGAATGAAAATTTATACATATTTGGAAAATTTTCATTCTGCTTTTTATTTGTATTTTTATGTAGTCAGATTTACAGAATTTTCAGTAGCATTAGGTTTTATAGAAATGAAGATTTAGGAGACTTTTGCTTGTGTAATAGTAAACTGCTACCATGTCTTATGTATGGACATACTGTTCATGCGGCTTAAGTGCTTTCCAAAGTGATCTGATTACAGGGGCTATATGAAACCACTCAAATTTCTATTTGAGTAAGATTTTTGCTTTTATGATACAGGGTTTCTTCTGTTAGCATTGCTATAGCTGGCATCAAGAAAGCAGAATGCCATCACGTGCTGTGCTTCTCTGTTAATACTTTTAGGGGTAGCTGATATACAGGTGTAATAGCTTACAGCATATGTCATACAGCGTACCGGTCCTTCAATTTTCCTCACCCAGAGGGCATCACCTCAAATAGCAACCTTTCTTACCTAACATGTCAAGATTGAGAAACTCGCTGCATATCACAATTACAGTTCAGACACGGAATTGAATTGCTGTCCTTGAAAACAGCAGGCATCTTGTTACCTCTTAAGTAGCAAATCTTAGCATGACCTTTGGATTGAGAGAAGTGTAACCATTCTTGGCTGACGTAGCTCAAAAAATAAATGTATTGTTTTGCTTGGCTCCTGAAGTTGCTGGTTGAAAATCTGTCAACTTTTGTGTCCAATCCTGACATTTTTAAATAAATATCTGTACCTAGAATAAATTGTGAACTGTAAAACTTTAGTTGTGATCTTTTCATTATTGAAAAAAGTTACAATCTTATGGAGTAGCAAATAGGTAATAGATTAAATTTGTTCAAAATTCAGCAAAGTAAAAATGAACCTTTTTTCTCCTCCCCTCCCTTTTTTTTAATCTGAGAGGTTTTTTAGAGCACTGTTTTTGAGGAATCTAGGAATGGTATTTAGGATGTTGAATATGACAGCAAAATATAGACTGCTGTTTCTTACAAGAAATGTCCTTGTCATTTATCCATCTTTTAGTATGTGGGTGAGAATATTTCTTTTCCTGCAATATGAAGCTAACCATCTTTAGATCAATTTCCTGCTCAGTCACAGTTTGTTTAGTAGTGAAATACGTACCAGTGACTGCACTTCCAAGTATTTTCTAAGTAGCATATTCTTTGGTATAGGGTATTGATTCACCTGGCTTTTATGGGTAAAGAGACATGTATTTTAGAAAAGTAGATGTGGTAAAAATAGTTTATTGTCATATAGTTTTTATTTTATATTTCTTTCCAGTTAATCACGTTGGGAAATCCTCTGATGATCACTTCTCTCTTAGCTTTAGAGAACTTTAACTGCTTCAAGAAGGACACAACACACTGTCCCCTTAGGCTTGGAACAGTAGTAAATATATGTCTGTGAGAATTAATAATATTTGAAATCCAAAATGTACTTTCATGCTTCTGAATTTATGGGTAGATTAACCGTTGCACTTGTATTGGAAGGCAACTGTGTTTGTTCTTTTCTGATAGTAAAACGGAGGAGAAAAATATTGTTTTTATGTGTGTGTGTGTGTGTATATATATATGTATATATATGTATATATATGAGAGAGGGAGAAGTCAAATGACTTCTCTAAGACCAAGCAGAGTATCAGATCTGACACTGCAAATAAAATGTCCTGTGTGCAGCCCAGGGCATTGATTACTAGCAAGGGCTTCACCCCCTGCCATCAACCCACTTCCCAGTATGTAGTAAACCATTATGTCATTAGTTTAAATATAAACTGGATAGATATAATTATTTTAATTTAGACTTCTTTTTCACTCTGACATGGCTAAACATAACTGTTATTGAGGCAAAAAATCCAAAGAGAGAGATGCCAGAAAGGACCCTGAAAAAAATGTTTTGTTGCTGGAGGCCACATATCCTGACGGCTAATTCTCTGTGGTCACCGAAGGAAATGAGATACATCCTCTCCTATGGCAGATTCTGAGGGCAACTCAATGGAGATATGAAGAAAGTGCCAGAGCACATGCAGACAAAGGCCTGCTTGCACACTGGAGATCTCTATTAGTGCAAGGCTCTCTGGGATGCTGTCCGACAATTTAATTGTAACTTTGAATGCTGTGACATGTGAACAAGACATTGCATGTCAGCTGCTCTACAGAAACTGTTTATGAATAAGCTCTCAGCATGAATGCAAGGTAAATTAGGGTTGCAACAAAGAGTTGTAAGGTGTATAAATTAGTTTGGGAAACCACAGAGTAGGAGAGTAAACATGGACAACTTGCTGAGGAGCAATTGATGGACAGTATTGTATTAATGTGTTGTATCTTGTTTGTATAAAAATAATCATGAATGAAATATCTCTTTGTCTTAGATGCTTGCAAGAGCAGTTAGGACTTTTGAACATTAATAGGCAGTGCCATCTGATCAATTTTTATGGCATGAAGCAGAGAGGTGTTTTGTCCTTGTTTGCTCAGTCACAGAGGAGCTTGATAAAGGGCCATTTTAGTGCTTTTGGAATTAGAAGTCAGAAATTTTCAGTTGAACTACAACAGATGGAAAAAATGAGAGACTTGTTTTCAGAATTTAAGGAACATGGGTTAGGATTTAGGAAGAAGAATGTAAAGTTTTTGATCTAGGAATCAAGTTGTTGCAGTTGTCAATCCATTTTTGACGTGTTTCAGACTCATTGTAATGCAATGAAATATTAACTGCTCTTACTTCTATATGTAAAGTAAAGGAATGATCCGTGACTCTATGAAAGTTCAGTGCTACCATTCTGTAACTTCACAAAAGGTTGAAAAAGCAGAGCAACCCATAAAACATGAAATTGAAGAATCTATGCTACCTAGGTTTTCTGTGGTTTGAATTTGCAATTATAATTTCAAAATCATGGCAGAAATTTGTCATATACAGAAGAAATATTTTAAGCCTCTCCCACAGTTCTAAGATCTCCCTTATAAAAGGTGTGAATTGTTAGGATTGTTTAAATGGCATAACTTTTTAAAAACAACGTGTTTATTGTACCTAAACCTCACTAATTAAAAAAGTATATTTTCAGTGTTACTACAATGATTTGGTGCTTGATTAAGCAATCTGTGCTTGTATTTTTATAAGAAAGGTATGATATTTATTGGGGAAATTCTGTGTACTGGAGATAAAAATATTTCAATGAGTAGAGGAAGCAAGTAAAAGATCAAATTGCTCCCCCTGAACTGAAGTAACTGTGTAGAGTTGGGGTGCGTGGAAGTTAGAAGAAAATCTAAGCATCTGGAAGAGTGTTTTTATCTTTGCAATTATATCATCTGATCTAATAAATGATTATTACCTCTGCCTACAAATCTTGCCCACATATGTCCTAATTATTTTAGAATACGAATGATAAAGGCTACAGTTTCTGGTTCAGGCCAATTCTTCTATTGCCATTGATTCATTTATTCACTATAGCTGTAAAATCAACTTATAGTGGCATAAGGGGAATTTTGATAGTGGCTGTGAGACTCCTTAACATGTAAGATTGTGTTTGGATCTTAACATTATATAGAGAATTAAACTGCTCATTTTTATGTTATATATGCCAATATACCTGAATGCTTATTTTGATAAGCCATTTTCTTTGCCTGTATTTATATGCAAAATGGGTAGCAATCACTTTTAACAAGATATGTGTAAGGCAGGCCTGAACTTTTGGCTTGTGGCTTTGGCATGTATTTCAGGAATTTGTGTGGTGTTATTATGCAGGTTTTCTTTCTTAGCATAGGGAATAACAGGAATAACAATTTGTTGCTGTACGTGAAATCCTGTGAAGGAGAGGGCAAGAAGAAAATACTCCAGGTATCTTGAATTGGTTTACTTTTTCTTCCTCCTTCTGAATGTTCATGTTTTTGCATTGAAGTAGCCTATAAAAAAAGCCTTGGGCACAGTTTATAGGGAAGGTGGCCATTACAGTCTTGCTTATGGCATCATACTTTGGGAACTGTAAACTCCTACAAGTTCCTTTGGGGACTCTGTAAACTCCTACTCTGTATAATTAAATTTCTTCAGAGGTCAAGATAGTGGCTCTCATGCAAATGCTGGTGTAAGGGAAAAGAGCCCTTATTGCCAGCTGTGGCAGAGATCAGGCATTCATGGACTTGGCTTGGAAGCATCAATCTGGGAATATCCAGAAATCTTTAACAACGAAGTTGCTCTCCCTGCAGGAAGAACTCTGGCAGGATGCCTGCAATGTCTTTATTGGTGACCTGGAGGATATGGCAGAGTGCACTCTAAAGTTTTCAGCCTACAGCAAGTTTGGGGGGAGCACTTGGTACATGCAGGAGCAATGATATGGCTCAGAGGGATCTCGCTAGGCTGCAGGAGGAGGTTGACAGAGAACTCATGAAATGAGGACTTAAACGCCTTGTAATGATACATACTGGGGACCATCTCTGCTGAGAAGGGCATGGGGACCCTGGCAGACAAGAAGCTCAATGTGAGGCAGTAACAAAGGCTGACTGCATCCTGGGATGTTTTAACAGGGGCATAATCTGTAGGCAGATGGAAGAGATTTATCTCCCGATACTCAGCTCTCGTTAGACCGTACCTGTGATAACATTTACCTGGTTTTGATCCCTCAGTAAAAAGAAGGCACATATCAAAGCAAGTCCAGCAATATGACCCCAGGCTAGCCAGGGAGCTGGAGCACTTCGCTTTGGGGGAGCCTGATGGCAGACCCGCAATGCCTAGGAGGAGGTTATATAGAGAAGACCAGCATGTGCTTATTCTGGGTGGGTAAGAGACAATTATCCTTGGAAGTTGGGGGGTTTTTGCCCTGCTAGTACAATATACATTAAGAAGCTAAATGTTCTGGAGTGCAAGAGCTTATAAGAGATATAGGCAGAGGAGAAATAGAGAAAGAGGATACATGAGACATTCAGTAATTGTGTAAGTGAGCAAAGGACCTGAGAACCCTGACCTATAGAAAAAGTGTGATTTTCTAGGTGGCTGCTCATGGCATTTGTCCCATATTGGAAATTCATGTTTCAGAAAAGATTTAATGTTTGCTTCCATATGTTCTTGTGCAGTCTCATGAAGCCTTATAGCATCAGCTTTCCATCAGACACTTTAGGAATTATATTTTGTTCCTATTGATTGCTGTAGAAATGTTCATAAAGTTGAAAGAAACAGATTGCAAAAAAGTCCTGATAATATTTTTTTTTTCTCTTAAGAATTCAGAAAGAACTTGCAGAAATTACATTAGACCCTCCTCCAAACTGTAGGTAAGTTCACCTGGATTTTATTAATTTGGAATATGGAAATGAAATATGTGGAATTATGGAAACTGCGTAGGGAAATTGAGTAAATTTTAGCTATTAATTTGTGCTGATTACTTAGTAATTTTGAAATAAAAGCTGATAGATAAAATATTGCCTAAATATAAGGAGTTGATATGACATACTTCCCAGTAACCAAAGTAATGTTAAAAATGGATGAACTCTGTGATGCAATGATAGATAGAGGGCAAAAATCAAATCACCCTTCATTTGAGGCATTAAATCGATAGCATTTTGTTTGATTCTATAAAATGTGATCTTGGTGGCGGTTGCCTGGTATGTTTGAGTCCTTTTCCTTGCAATTTGTTAACACATTTTTAGTACTTAACAAATTATTACTGATTTTCTGACTGTGTTTGTGATGATCAGTTATGGTGTTGGGTGGAAACTTCCTGAAATAGAGTATTTAATCCTACAGACTTTCTTATAATGTCTATGTGTTTGTTTGGCTTGGTTTTGGTGGGGTTTTTTTTTTGGTCAGGTACATTTACTTGTGGTGTGTTTAAAATTGGCTTTGCAGTGAATGATGAGGTAGACCTAGAAACCCTCGCTGTCTGGTGGCTGGGGCTGGATGCAGTTGTTTTCAGATGGCTGTCTCGGGCTTCTTATCTGTCAGCTTGACATACGGTCAGTATTGGAGCTAGGCCAGGGCTGCATGCACAGCGCTGCTTAAAGGAGCCCCTGCACCTCTTGTGGTGGGAGGTTAGGTTTGGTGCAGAAAAATAGCTTCCACCCAGTCCTGCCAACTCGTTTCAACTGATGTGGTTAGTAGGTTTCATTCTGTTAGTGCAGGAAAAAGAAATGGCTGATTGCATGCAGCTTTTGTAATGAATCCCAGTTTCACTATCGAATTAACTAAGCAACTGGTAGTAAAAATGACAGTCAGCTTTATTGTTTTGGTCTTGTGACAAAAGTATGTGTGAGAAAATATTCTAACAAGATTTGATGTGGTTGTGCTGAATCTCAAGATATATATAAGTCAAGTGGCTACGTACTAAAGCTCTGCGTGGTGAAGTGGCCTTGCAGTAATAGTGTTCAAAGAGTATTTCAGTCAATTAGGATCAACAGTTTTTTGCTAGATAAAACATTTTAATAGCTAAGCTGTTCTGTCATGCTTACGACTGTGTGTGAGTCTTCAATCACATCAAAGCAGTTTCATATGGCAGATTTTACTTCGGTGTTGATGACTGATGCCTATTAGTGGACTGATTTGCTGAGATGAATATAAAACTTCAGTCTGTTGTATAAGAATGCATGTCTTTGAACTGAGTGTAAAAGGCTTGCAGTTTTTACAGCAGTGTCATTTTTTCTAGTTTTCTGAAGCCTTCCCTTTATAACAAAGCAGTTGTTTCAGTATGCAAGATACTGTTATATTTGATTTTCTTTTGCTAGCAAGTGTAAAGTGAGCATTGGCTGTCTTAGTGGAAAGCCCTTAAGTGACTTGCAATTTAAAAAAAAAAACACAAGTGAGCTGGAGATTTCCTGGGTTTGTTGAATTATTTACACTAATGATAAAATAGCAATAAAGTACACTGCATGATGCTGTTTTGCAAAATCACAAAATTACATCTAACTTCACGTGTCTGCTGCTTTAACACAGTTTTTAAGATACAGGATTACTTCATGTTGTGATCTTGATAGATAACCATTAGTAACTTTACTATTAGCAAATATGTTTTTATAGTCAATACAGAATCACTTCATTTAGTTTTATGCTCTGTTGACATAGTCTAAACAGTGTTTTCATTTGAACTTCATCTATTTTCTATTATAGCTAAACATTACAAAATAAATACATCAGCCAGACATGATTCTTCGGAGAATAATGAAGAAAACTGAGCTATTGTGCAGTATATCTTACCCTAAAGTATTAATACATTCTTTCTTGGGTTTAGTGAAATTTAGATCATTGTTATAAGACATTATATTTTCTGTTTAAAAACCCCAGCCATATTTTATAAAGATAAATTCCTTACAGATGTAGGAATTTAATGTTACTTGAAATGGTTGTGATTCCAGCTTGCCTTCCCTATGTGTACTGTTTTATATATAAAATAAATTAAGATTGGTCAACAGGAATGTGATAAATCCCAAAACTAAATGTCATAGAAGGCATGAGAAGGCTTTATTATTCAAAAATGCTGTCTTAAGTAGTTACTTAGGAAGTTCTGATAGGCAGGATATGGAGCTGAATTGGAACTTGGGTGGAATATTGCAAGTAGGTTTGCAAGACTTTCCGTTAACTACACCAGGCCAAAGCTTCAGGGTTTTCCCTTTCAGGAAAAAAAAACAAAATGGAACAGTATCTGTAGTACAGTAGCATCCCTCAATGGTATATTGGCTAAATAGTCCGTACAAGCTCCAAAGCAGTTGCAGATTCCACTGCTGCAGCAGCTGCAATCTTAACATTTCCCCTGCCTCATCCTCATGAAGAGGATAGGCTGTATAATCTTCGTGTTTGTCTGGAAGACAACAAAGTCTTGCTCACAAATGTGCCTTGTAATTGGCAGATTATCACTGCTGCGACTTGCAGCATCTTTCCAAAAATGTGGAAAGCTGTGGGTTTTAGAGTTTGTAAAAAAAAAATCTGTCACTTTTGGCTTTAAAAGAAGATTTAATGTTATAAGAAACTAAGAGTTGCCTGTCTCCCTAGGTATTCATATTCTGTAGTTTGGGTACTGGGCGATGGAAAGAGTCCTCTACACTTCACAAAGTTTGGCTCCTTCCTCAGGACTGAGAATGTATAATGTTCTAAACATAAAAAAGCCAAGCTGAGGAGGGGGTTGTGGGAGTTGAGCAGTGTAATCATTGCTATTTTTGGAGGAAGGCATGTAATAAAAAAGCCTGTTATACTTCACATTTAACAGAAAGAACTGGATGGTTTTCAGTATATGTTTTCCCATCCCTCCCCCCATTTAACTTTTTTGTTGAGCTGAATTTACTGTCAAGGAGAGTCCTGAATGTGAAGGAGGTACATTTGTGTTTCAAATTTGCAGCATTGTGAAATTTCAGTTTGTCAGGAGATAATATGCCTAAATTGTAGACATTGGCCACTCTTCTTTTTTTTCCACCTCATTGAAATGCCAAAGCTTTATTACTAGAAATGTTACATGTATTATACCTCAGAGTAGTGCAGAGTATACCTTTTCTCTCAGGTGATAAAACCTTCATATTTAAGTATCATTTTCATATATTGCCTTGCTAAAAGCAGGGAATAGTTGGGAAATCTTGTAGCTAGAATAATGCCTTTTCAAACTTTCCCATATTTTGGACTGCCTCTTGTCCAAGACAATAGATGTCATAGAATACAACTACTATTGTCATCATTGTATACTATTTCCCTTCTCACTGGCAAGAGAACAACATCTCTGTGGCAACTTATCCCAATTGCTTACATGGGAAAATAATATTTGGAAAGTATTTAATGTATTTTTAGTTTCTTTCAATGCAAACTTAACAGCTGGAAACAAGGAGAGCCAGCACAAAGTGAATAGCAGCTCTCTGTGGACACCACTTGGAGCAACTGCTCAAAATTTTCCTATTAAGTCACTGATATTACCTATCTTCCCCTTCATGTTTTCTTTTGATGTTCTTTAGTGTATTTTTCGCCATTCTTCTATTTTCTGTGTATTTACTGCAATTTCTATTATGTTTTATGCATTTTATTTCTTATTCCCTGTAGCAATATAGGTAGTGCTTGAGGCTCAGAAGTATACTGTAAAGGACTGTGCAACTCAGTGGGAAAATTGACTGGTTCTCATTCCAAAAGTGTCAGTTTAAAACCCTGCATGTAGTCTTATCTCTTGTATTAGTTTGGAATCATTACATTAATTCCTTGCTTTTTATACTATTTGCAAAATTGATAAGAACCCAAACTTGATCCTAATATTTTGCTTGTGAAAACTAATCACACTGAAAATACTTAAAATGCAGTTCTTTTTGGGGTGATGTAGTGAAGTGGAATGGCAAAATATTCTGTTTGGCTTAGGGGGGAGTTCAGTGTGCCTTATGGATGTCTCTTGCTATTAATGACTGTATGGAGCCCAACATTCCTGTTTAATATTGCTCTGGCTCTGTTGTTGCTGAAATGCTGAGACTGGGATCTTCACAACTCAGAGACTATGTGAATTCCATCAACTTCAGTTATTGTTCTCAGGGCCACCTATTTAAACTCCTACCTAGTGGTGCTTAAAACCTAAAGAGATGTAATGAGTATCAGGAGCAGAAAATGAATGTTAGCATAATACCCTGGGAAGACTGGGAGGCAGAAGGTAGTGAGCCTTGCTCTACAATGCAGGGAGAGAGAAGTGTAGGGACCTAGAGAAGCAGGTGCAGCAAGTATCTGCTGTGCAATTGTGCTCAGTGGTTTTGATTGTTTGAGTTAGGGATGCATCAGTCTGTTGCCACAGACACGTGACTGCGATGCATGTGACGCTAATGTGTGAACAGGATGAAAACAGGAGTAACAAATGCTTTCTTTGAATGTTTTCCCTTACAAACATTTCCAGCCTGAATCCAGGCTGTCTTTCCATTATGTTACCCATGGAGTTTACCTTCTGCCTGTATAGGCTTCCTTTGATGTGCTGCTAGTTCTTTATAACCTTCTAGAGAATATGTAACACAGAACATTGTATGTAATTTTGCCCACCCTCTTTAGAATTTACAGGAAATAACAAAATGTAATCAAAAAGATAAGCATACAAGGAGTTGATATTAATGTGCAGGATGCTGTTGGCTTTAAATCCATGAGGTATTAACAATCGAGGATAGGGATGAATGAAAAATCTGTTTGAGTGCTTACTGTGACTGCTTTGTTTTTAAATTTTGAGTCCCTTCTTGCTTCAAAAGAATCAAGAAACGTCGCAAAAACATGCAAGTTAGAGATCGCACTGGGATTATATTTTACAATAGCAACCATATTGTATTTTATCACTTGAGTTAACTTG